GGATGGCAGCCTAGTTTTGGACATCACTGAGCAGGTTTAACCTGTTCTCTGGCTTACTATAGAAACCATTATCAGTAGGGTGTAAACCCCACCTACGGGGACCAACCTGATGGTTGCAAGCCTTTAGGGAGATGTAGCCTATTGTCCTTAACAGCAGGGAGCAGGCCCTTCTTGTGGTGGGACCAGACAGTAGTCTCGCAACTGAATGCCTTCAGGGAGGATGTCTCTAAGCATCTGACCTCCCAACATATACTGGCAAATAACCTCTAATGTTTGGCAAGTCTTTGGGGGAGACAAAGCTGGGAAAAGTCTCTTCATAATCCCACATTCTTCTTGGAGCAAGGTGACTTCTTTGGCTCTGTATAAGAGTTTAAATTTCTGAGCCCTAAGTTTGTGAATAACCCAAGGACACATACTCTGAGGAAGCTACACTATTAGAGGAAGAATGAGGCATCAAGATCGAAAGGAAGACTGAATTATCAACCTTCAGTGGATAGAGGACACAACCTTGCTTGCTGACATTGAGGTGGACTGGAAGCCCTTGCTAAGGAAGATCAAGAATCACAGCCTTCATTACGAATTACAATGTAACTCAATGTAACCCCCAAAAGATCAAACTCACTGTCATTAAGTCAATTCCCACTCATGACACTGTAGGGCAGGGTGAAAATGAGCATGTGGGTTTCAGGAGACTGTCGTTCTTTCAGGGGAGTAAAAAGCCTCATCTTTCTCCGGAGGACCAACTAGTCATTTCAGTCTGAATGAACTTGTGGTTAGCAGCTCCATCCACAACCATGATGCCACCAGGACTGCCTCGTGCAATATCAAGAAAACAAAACGTCTCCTAACTGAAGCAGGAGGTAACACCAGGATAAACAGGAAAAGATTGAGGTTGTCAAGGATCCTACCCTGCTTAGCTACATAATCAACAGTCAAGAGATAAATGACTCATTGCTTTGGCTAACTCTTTTGCGCAAGACCTGTTTAAAGTACTGAAGAGCAAGGATGTCACTGTAAAGTGGAACTGAGGAACAGAGATGAAGACGGACATAACTGGAAACTCCGAGAATTGCTTGTCAACTCCTTGAGGCTTTCTTCGAACCTGGAACATCTTGTTTCACTGGTTATCTTATCTGGCCTTGTCTGCTGCTGACCATTGGGATGTGCAGGGAAGCACGTGCAGGGCCCGGACCTGCTTCAGCTTCGTCCAAATGGGGGCTGCCTAGTTCAGACCCGGCCCAAACATTCACTTTGAGAACTAAGTGTGCCAACCCAAGCCAGGTATATTTCCAGTCGTCTCATATGCATATGAAAGCTGGACATTGAATTGGGAAGACAGGAGAAGAATCAATGCATTTGAATTATGGTGCTGGCGAAGAAGATTGCAAGCACCACGGACTGCCAGAAGAACAACCAGATCTACGCTGGAACAAGTACAGCCAGCATGCTCCTGAGAAGCAAGTGTAGTGAGCTCAGCCCCTGGAAAAGGACCCCTTGCTTTGTAAAGTGGAGGGCCCTCCACGAGATGGTTTGACACAGCGGCTACAACAGTGAGCGCAAATATAAGAACAATTGTGAGGATGGTGCAGGACTTGGAGGGGTTTGTTCTGGTTTCATAGGGTCTCTGTGAGTCGTAGGACCTAGGGCACCTAATGACAAAAACATGTTTGTGATAGACTTCAGCTTCCCCTAGAAGCCCAAAATCCATTTATGAATCTCTGCATGAATTCAGCCTCCATGGAGTTCCCTCTGACCATTAACTGGTGTGGCAGTTACATAATCTCCTGTCAACTTGCGAAGGGGTGGAGTCTAACCTGTCAATCAGGTCATAGCCAATGAAGCCTCTCTGTGAACATGGGCCTCTCCTGAGGATTCTGGGAACTCCTTTCTTCCTCCCTGGAGGTAGGACACACACTCTCTGCTTCATATTCGTAATGAAAAGACATATGGAGCTACGCTAGAGCCCTGGAGCTGGAGAAGCCATGTGCAGACCCACGCCAGCACTGAGATGCTTACACTGACACTGGATCCACAAGACTTTCTACCCACTGGCTTGTGATCTTCCTGCATTGGGTGTCATTGCATGTGTTCGTGAGTCTGATAAAAAATTTGTACATTGGTATCAGACATATGGGCTAATATCCGACTTAGGGACTTGGTCTAGACTGGACTGGGATATTTTCTCAATATTCAATTGCTCTTGTATATAAAACTCTTTCTTAGACACATGAGTGTCTATGAATTTGTATCTGTAGTCTACCCAGACTAATACAACTGGAAACGTGAATAGCTCTGTCCTCAAGCAGAACGCTGGATTACCCTCACTCCCCTGGCAGGTTCTGGGAGAAATGCTGTAGCCCTTAGGGACTTGCCTGGGTGTGCCCTTAAAGAAAATCAGGCTGCAGGGGTAGTATAACCAGGAGTCACATTCTCACTGCTTTGGTCAAATGGCCATCATCGATTCCCCCTTCCGTAGTCCCACCTATAACTGTGATGTATTGGCAGCAACCAATCCCACTCATCCTGTTATTCAGAGGGTTCAAAGAACAGACTTCAGGGCACCTAACAATATTTCCTATTTATGTCTGTGATTCTCTGCAAATTCTTGCAAGACATTTTGACCTGGTGCTGACAAGTCTTCCTCATCCAGATGATGTATCTGTCTTTTCCTGATTTTATAAATGTTCTCTGTAATGATAGCTGAGATTTGGGGGCTCTTTTGTGTCTTAAAACAGCTCTCAGCGATATTGAGATTTGAGGCACTGAGATTTGCCCAGAAAAAAAGTAGCATATTGAGCTTATGGTTTTTCTTATGTTAAAAAAAGTGGTTGCTGAGGGAAAGTAAATAATGCTGCTATCTTTGGGTAGCCACTAAAGGCTAAAGCCTTCCCTTTTTACCCAGGGGGGTTGTCCTCTTTAGAAATGATAAACACTGATTGGTACGCAAGCCCCAGGGCCTTTCCAGCCTGGGTCCGCTGATGCCCGTAGGAGCGGGGCAGCCACACTTCCGGTAGAGTCTGGGTCCGCGGACGGCCGCCGGAGCGGGGCAGCCACACTTCCGGTGTGCCGGCCGCACGCTCGCCACACTTCCTGTTGATCGGGCTCTGTGGAGGGCTGGCCCGGGAGGAGGGCGGGGCGGCCGGAGGGCGGGCCGTGGACACCGGCCAGGCGTGCGCGCGCGCTGGGCTGCCGCGGGCACGGAGCGTCCGCCTCGTCGCCCAAGCTTGGAGCACCCTCCGGGACCCCGCCTCCCGCTCTCCGTCCTTCCGTCGCTCCCTCGGCCAGGCCGCGCAGCATCATGCCCGCCGTGGACAAGCTCCTGCTGGAGGAGGCGTTGCAGGACAGCCCGCAGGTACCTCCCGCCGCTGTGGCCGCCCTGGCCGGCGGGGCTGAGGCCGTGGAGGGCCCTCCGGCCCCGGGAGAGAGGCCGCGCCCCCGTCCGCCACCCCTCGGGGTGCCTCCCTCCAGGGTGCCTCGGGGCTGCAAAGGGGGCGGGCCTGGCCCTGCGGCCGCGAGCGGGGACCCCCCCGGGAGAGCAGGAGCACCCGGGAAAGCCGACCACGGCGGGGGTCGTTGTGTCAGGACCCCGCTCCAAAGGCTGCCCGGGCCAAACCCTTACTAGCCGAGAGTTTGTCAATTTCCTCTCTGCCTCAGTTTTGTCACCCGTGTTGTTAGGTGCCACGCAGTCGGCTCCCACCCATAGCGACCCTGTGCACAACAGAGTGCAACCTCGCTTGGTGCCGTCCGTAAGATAGAATAGTCCCAGCCTCGTGGGCTCGCCAACTCCCAACCCCCTGGAACTGCCTCGGTGCGTTTCCAAGACTACATTTTCACCGGAGTAAAAAGCCTTGTCTTTCTCGCACGGAGGGCCTGGGGCTTTCGGACTGTGGTTGTTGGGGTTAGCAGTACAACTTGTAACCCATGTGCCACCAGGGCTCCTTATGGGTGCCAGGAGTATTAAATACAAAAATGCCTGTCAAGCTGTTAGTGGACAATGGCTTGTTAACAGTCGGGACAGTATTATTATTACTAATAGTACAGTACTACAGTTCCTACTGCCCCAGAATGGGCAGTGGAGAACCAGGATCTCCTTCTCAGCAGGGCCAGACACCCTTGGGACTGTTTTCCCATCAGTGAGGAGAACATTAAGGTACCTGCCCCATTTGCCACCTAGGGAAACTTCCTTAGCTCACTTGAGATGTCAGCCAAATCCTTAGAGCTCTACAGATGAAATTTATTATACGTAAATATAGCAAATGAGCGAGCCTGGGATGCTATTAGTTGATAACGGCCGCTATCCTTGGGGAACTTTTGTTCTCTTTGATTTAACAGCTCCCCAGCTTCTCTGCTCTCCTCCTGGTTCATATCCTTGGGCTATTTAAATAAGCCCCTCTTCCCTGGGCACCTCGCCTCTGAAAAAGAGAATAGAGAAGCCTGTTTTTTTTTCCACACTTTCCCGTCTTTTCCAGTTCATTTCCTTTTATCTCCTCAGTGAGTTGTGCCATCCAGGTGATCTTTGAGAGATTTGTCTATGCCCAGCAACCTCTCACTAGTTCGGAATAAGTAGTCCAAAAGGCCAGGTACTTAGTTTTTTGCACCCCTTTCTTTGGGCTGCTATTGTAAAGTCAGCAGTTCAAAACCACCAGCTGCTCTGAGAGAGAAAGATGAGATTGTCTACTTCCGAAAAGCATTACCATCACGGAAACCTACTAGGGCAGTTCTATACTATCCTATAGGATCGCTGTGACTAAGAATTGACTCGATGGCAGTGAGTTTGGTGTTTTTGTTTTGTGTAGGCAAGGCACTGTGAACCAACTTTGATGACACATGCACACACACGCATCCCAACCCCACTCCCCTTCTTGGAAAATCACATCCCCTGCTCTGATTGGCTTTTCAGAGTCTCGTATACAGCTCCAGCTGTCTGAGATTTTAATCAGAGGGCCACAGGACCTTGGTAGAAGGCATTTCATTTATCACCACACCTGTTGTGTGAAACCTGAAGATAAAAAGTGGAATTTTGAAAGCTCATTGTGAGCCTAGATTCCTGTTTGCTCTGTAGTTGGGGAGACAGATGCAAAAGTGCTGGTCCGTTGCCTTCTGAGCCAAACGTGGGGATGGCAGGGCCAGATTAGAGAGGCCACACCACCAGCACCTCCAAACCCTCCTCCCAGATCAATCACATCGCAAGTTGTCAGCTCGCCCTTAAATGAACCTTCACTCTTTCCGAGGGGCTGGAAGGATGTCAGCTGTCAGGAAATAGAGAAAGTGCTGGTGAGGGAGTGCTGGGTTTTCTGGCTCTGGCTTGAGTACTCACTGATCATGTGAGCTGGGCAAGCCATTTAGTCCCCACCCTGTGCTGGCTCAGTTTGCTCGGTTGCAGAACAAGGGACGTGGATCAGCCGATCTTGAAGGCACTCTGCAAGGGTTATTGCTCTGAACTTGTGTGTGAAAGAAGGGGCCTGAGACAGTGCCATTCCTGTTGCGGGTGCCTCTGAATTTCTCACTGCTTGTGAGACTTTACTGTCGCTCTGTAACCAAGGAGAACTCAGCTCTCGCTTACTGTTTGGCACGGATGCCAGTGTTAAGGAGGGGGATTGATAATTATCAGATCATATTAGGGTGAGTCTTTTCATTGGGACATGTGCCTCATTGCTGCTGCTACTCCCAAAGTGGCTCCTACGCTTGGAACTAGGTGGTATCTAATCCAACTCCATCCTCCGTGTAACAAATAAAAAACACCTGCAGATGCCTGTAGCATGTGGTGTCCGTGCCAGGAAGGGTCCCTAAGTGCTTTCCGTATCCTCACTCATTTAATCCGACAGTCATTTGAACAAGAGCCTCTATTAAAACTACAAGGAGCAAATAAATCGCCCAAGATAATGCACTCGACCGTGGCAGTGCCAGGAACCCCGGCAGCCTGCAGACACAGGGAGATTGCTCATGTGAACCCAGCTACCTAACACCTGACTTTTCGGTCATCAGGGACCTCAAACGTCTCACTCAATGACAAAGCTCTCAGAAGCCATCTCTTGTTTATTTCCTGCAGGTGTATGTAGTTATGAGAGTTGCTCCAGTAACTTGGTTTGCACATGACTAATGAACATAAAAGCTGCTGCAGGTGAGCCGAGCCATCCCAAAGAGCTGAAGAGCAAGTCAGCCAACCTTAGACACATCTATTCTTCTCCTCTTGCTTTTTTTTTAAAGGTAGTTTGCAGTCTTGCGCAACCGATTGTCAAACTAGTTAGTGTGCGTTGTTGTAAGGTAATTTGTCTGTCTCCATTGCTGTCTGTGAAGGGCTGCTGCTCACCAGCCACTGGGCGATGCTGGGCACGTAATGCTGAGTAAACCACAGTGGCTGCCCGAAGTGAGTCACAGTTTGTTCTTGGAGACAGGTGAACAGGACAGCTGTGATGGCACCCAGTCCATACGTCTTTGGGAGTGTACTCTCTTGTCCTGTGGAGTGAGCTGAAGAAATAAGGCCCATTCCTTTTCGTTCTTTCTTTCTAACTGGCATTGAGCTTTCTTGACTGTCACCTTTAAGGTAGCAGTAGAATACCAGGTCTTGCTCCTGCAGAACCCCTCAGAAAATAAAACCAAATGGATTGCCATCAAGTTGATTTTGACCCGTAGCCTTTTAGGACAGAGAAGAACTATAGGTTTCCAACACTTGTAACTCTTTAAGGGTGGGGAACCCCTCATCTGTCTCCCAAGGAGAGTGGCTGGTGGTTCGAACTACCGACCTTGAGGTTAGCAGCCCAACATACAACCCACTACTGCTACCAGGGCTTCCTTGGAATAACTGCCAAACAGAAAAAAACAAACTCACTGCCGTTGAGTAGACGACCCACTAGGGCAGGGCAGAACTGCCCCAGTGGATTTCCAAGACTGCAACTTTCTACGGGAGTAGAGGACCAAGAAATTACAGGCTCAGTTCTGAGATTATTCAGTGATTGATTAACCAAGATATAAACAATCCTCCTCGCCATCCGGATCAGACCTTTCCTTATTCAGGCACGATGCCTCCAAACGTAACCTGGTTGATTTTGTCTTCATAGCCGAGGGCTTTGCTCCGGTTCTCTTGGTTCATGACACTTGTGTGAGTTGTAGATTCGATTCTGCTAAGACGTTTCCTCCACCACCCTATGGGCATACTGCTGTTAAGTGTGGTCCAGTTGATTCAGACTTATAATGACCCCATGTGACAGAAGAGAACTGGCCCATACGGTTTTCTTAGCTGTCATGTCTAAGGGCACAGTCCATTAGTTCTTTTCTTTTGTGGCGCGCGCGCGCACACCCCCTTCCCCACCCCCCACACACACAAAACAAACTCACTGCCATTGAATCAATTCTGACTCATAGTGACCCTATAGGACAGAGTAGAACTGGCCCTGTAGTTTTCCAGGACTGTAACTTTTCGGGAGTAGAAAGCTTCATCTTTCTCCCTTGGAGCTGCTGATGGTGTGGAACTGCTAACCTTGTGACTAGCAGCCCAACACATAACTCAGGGCTCTGCTACACGTCTTAGCAACTGTTGGTTGCCGTTGCCTCTACACGTGATTTGCACGTGTATCGTTTTGACTTTTTGTGGGGTTTTGAGCAAGGAACGTACCTGTGGCTGGTCCTTGGTCTCATTCTCGTCTGTATGGCTCAGCATCCCCATTTGTCCCAATAAAGTTTTCACAGATGTGCTGTGGGGCATGTGAATATCAGAACAGCAGTGGAGGTTGCTGGGGACATTTTTTCCAGGGGCGATAACTACCTTGTTAAATGAGGAAGAGAATACTGGCAATTTTCTGCCAGATCCAGAGGGTGTGTCCTGGTGTGCATGTGCAGAGTACAGGCTGGGAGGTATTGTGGGCTCAGTTCCAGACCACCGTAATAAACAGATATCAAAATAAGCAGGTCACATGACTTTTTTGGTGTTCCACTGCAAATAAAGGCTATATATGTACACTACGGTGTCTTCTAAAGGAGCCCTGGTAGTGCTCTGGGCTAGACATTGGGCTGCTAACTGCAAGTAGTTGTTCAAACCCACCAGCCACCCCTACAGAAAAAGATGAGGCTGTCTGCTCCAGTAAAGATGTACAGACTTGTAAACTCTGTGTAGGGTCGCTGTGTCAGAATGAACTCAATGGCAGTGTTCTTTGGGTGTAGATCAGCATTTTCCCCAGGGGGCAGCATTGCCCCCTGGGAGGCTCTGGAATGATCCAAGGTGGCAGTAGTGGTAAAGGAAGTGGGGGTGAGGTGCTGGGGGTCCGGGAGGGTTGTAAAAGTAAATTCCTACTGGATTGTGGGGTATAGTACAAAAGTTTTTAATTGCCAAAGGGGTGCTGAGAATGTTTTTCTGAAAAGGGGGCAATAAGACAAATATAAGGGGGACCCCCTCTCAAAAAATGGTCACAGTGAATTTTTTCGTAAAAGCCGTTTTGCTTGAACCTAGGTTTTAGTGATGGCCAATTTAAGAGAACATGCAGTTGTGAGCTTTTACTGCTGGGGGGAAAATGCCGCAGAAACTGTTGTGATGTTGAACACAGCTTACAAGGACAGCAAGGAGTTTTCTATGGGGAAAAACTCAAGTGTATTAGTGGTTTTCTCATTTCAAAAAAGGTGAAATGTTGATTGATGACAGACCTCATTCTGAACGTCCATCACCTTCCCAAACAGACGAAAATGTTGACTAGTGCATTTGGAGTTCATTCCACCAGGTCAGACTATTATTCAAGCTTTCTATTTAGAGGTTCTGAAAAGATTGCATAACAGTGTGCGACAAAAGAGCCTCATTTGTGGCAGACGGGGGACTGTTTTTGCCACCACGCCAATGCACCTACTCACGCAGCCATGTCAGTCCACCAGTTTTTGGCAAAAACAGCATGCCTCTTGCCCCACACACCTGACTCACCTGACCTCGCTCTGTGGAACTTCTTTTTGTTTCCACAAATGAAGAGGGACATGAAAGGACAGTGATTTGACAACGTAGAAGAGGTGAAGAAAAAAATGAGGGAGGTCCCGTCAGCCATCCAAACAGATGAGTGTGAAAAATGTTTCCAAGAATGGAATCACAGATTTGAGAACTGTATTTAGTGTAATGGAGAGTACTTTGAAGGTGATAGGGTTGTTTGTAAAAAAATGTTAAAACATCACTTTGAAAATAAAAATTCCGGTTTCTGGTGGGGAGTACTCCTTGTAAACTTGTAAACTTATGGGGAACGATATAGGTTACTGGAGCCCTGTTGGTGCAGTGATTAAAGTGCTCAGCAGTTCAAACCAACCCACTACAGGAGCAAGATATAGCCTTGGAAAGCATATGGCGCACATCTATGCTGACCTGTGTGGCCAATATGTGTCAAAATTGACTACAGCCACAGATGTGTGCATGACAGGCTTGCTATAGGGTTAACATGAAACCATGCTTGTAGAGCATTTACTACTTGGCATCTAATAAGCAATCAATAAAGTTCATCATCATCATCATCTCTGCGATCACTGTATGAACACTGATAACCTGCTTCAGTAAACCTGGCAGATTAGTGCCAAAGCCTAGATTTGAATCCTCTACTGACAGTCTCAGGATCATCACAGATCCTTTGAAAAGACAGATGATTCTCATCACCTGTGAATCTCAGTACCCAACACAACGTTTCAGTTCATGTTAAATGAAAGCAAAGATGAATGAATGAATATTGAATACAGAGCCCCGCCCCCATTAACAATGTTCAAATATTTTGAAGAGCTATGATAGGGAATCCTAAAACAGTGTTTTTCACCTACCAGCCGAGCCTCATTAATGAATTACGAAATCCCATGGGTCACAACCAGCATTTTTGTTTGCGAACGGCTAAACCAGCATTAGATGAAATCAAACCTGACAATGAAATCAAACAAAACAGAAGCGGGGAGGGGGAGGGAGATCAGTGATAAACAGTGTTCATTCAGCTCTTGATAAAAAATGAATTTCTGGCTGTGGAATATAAAAATGTTTCAAAAGTGCTGTTCTCAGAAACTCCTCGTACATAGTGAGCTATTATATGGTGATGTTTCTGCTCTTGTTGAGAACGTGTATTAAAAATGATCTTACACTCTGTTACCTTATTCATTTACTCGGTTCTTCTGTTGATAAGGATTGTACTGAAGACATCCTCTTATCTGCAGTTAACGTCTCCCCTTAAGGCCACTGGGCAAAGCCAGAGCTTGCTGTTCTGTTGTCAGGGTGCCAGTGTGTGTGGAATGAAATCAGGGTGGGAGTGGGTGGACGTAGGGGGTGGGATGGGGTGTGCGGAGACTCTTCAAATGCCTAAGTTCCTATTCCAGTTCTTTGGGGTCAGTGATTGCTCACTTGCCTCATGTAGGTCAGAAAAAGATCGAAGGAACTGAAATTTTTATTTGCAGGGAAAGAGTGAGCTTTAGTGTCTTGTGTGTAATGTACTTTTTTATCACCTCGGTAAGGGCATTTCCACAACTTATTCTCCCCTTCAAGCCTAATGGGTTCTCTTCAGACGTGAAGATCCCATTATAACGAAAGCAGTAGCTTACAGGCCTATTAGCAAATGGCCTTTGGGAGATAAGGGCTCATGTAACTCCTCAGTGGCTCCTCAGACACCTTGTGAGACATCATCTCCCCCTTAGTGTTTTGTGGGGGCCAGGCCGCCACGGGGTTGAAACCATAATTGGCGAATGGCCTTGCGGGCAGCTGGTAGAGCACTGAGCAGTCTTCACCACGGAACCGCTGCCTTGTTCCCAGGGCCTGGAGCTGGTGGGTCCCGGGTTCTTGACATTTCTTGCACAGGAGTTTGAAAATCGGTTGCCTGGAAAGGTGACCTTAAACAAACTCTGGCACATTTCATACATTGGCTTATTCATCCTTAAAAAGCCGTGATGAGTCTGTCAAACGCTTTAAGGCACAGCCAAAATCAAGAACATTATGCTCAGCAAAGTTAGTCAGTCTCACAAAGATAACTATTTTATGATGTATTATTATAAAGGAAAATCAAGAAAAATAAAAATGTTTTTCATACCGAAAGAGAAGATTTTAAAGACTACAATGAGGTCAGGTTAGTTCAGAGAGGTGGAGAGACAGGGATATATGGAGGAAAGGACGGTGGGAAAAGAAGAAGAAATTGTTCTCCAACACACACATACCCCAAGAAGAAGAAGAAGAAACCACATATAAAGGTTAATGAGATACTGCTCCCTAGAGTATGTTTTTCTTTGTATTAAGAATATTTCACAAACAAAAGGGGAAACTATATGGAAATAAATAAAAAACAAATTTAATTTTTCCTAGAAAGTGAGGGGTCACAGTCTTAAAAGCCCTGTAGATTCCTTACCTATTGTGATAGTTATATAATCTGTTGTCAATTGGAGAGGATTAAGAATGAAGGGGTGGAGTTTAGTCTGTCAGTCAGGTGGCAGTTTGATGACCTCATTTGGAGGCACTAAGGAAATAAATAGCTTGCTGGAGGTGGAACACACGCTGACTCTCTGGAAGACATTGCAGCTGACAAGACACATGGAACTATGCTAGTGCCCTGAGCTGGGGGAGCCATGCGGAGACCCCTGCCAGCGCTGAGATGCTTACAACCCCACTGGATCCACAAGACTCCCCACCCACTGTCCTGTGATCTTCCTGCGTTCGGCATCATGGCATGTGTTTTATGAGTCTGAAGAGGACTTTATAGATTAGTATTGGACATATGAGCTAATATCGGACTTCCTGACTTGATCTGGACGGGGCTGGGATGTTTTCTCCGTATTCAGTTGCTCTTGTATGTAAAGTTCTTTCTTACACATGAGTGTCTGAATTTGTTTCTCTAATATTCCCGGACTCACACTGCTCAGACCTAAACGCTGGTCCAAGTGGCTCCAAAAGGCGGAAAAGGAAAACTGAAAGTGACTTGGAGCTTTGGTGGCTTAGGGACTGTCGTTTCCTCAAAAGAACGCACGGCACATTCTGGCGAGATTTGCAGAGTTGTGGCAAAGCAGACAGGTGGCTGGCTACCTCCTGATGGGATTGTGCCCCCCACCCCACCCAATGCTGGAGTCCTGACCAGCATGACCCAGGGCCTCGTGTTCAGTGCGTGCCTTGGACAGGATAGGTTGCCCTTTGAGGTGGGAGAATTTATTGGTGCGTAGAAAAGGGGCCAACTCTGCGCTGCATCATCTGTAAGGGATCTGGAGTCGGAATAGCAGTCCTGTAGGGGAGGGCGGAACTGTCCTGCGAGGGCCTGAAACTGAAACTGTTTAAAGGAGTAGAAAAGCTCCTCTTTTTCCCATAGAGTGGCTGGTGGTTTCAAACTGCTGACCTTGCTTTTAGGAGCGCAGTGCATAACCACTATGCTACCTGAAGGATTAGAAAGGAACTGTAAGGCTCTAAGAATCAACTCGTCTTTGTGTTTCAACAAGAGACAAATGTCTGAGAACTAGCAAGCACCTCCTCGCCCCGTTTCTGTGGGGGTGGGGGTGGGGGCCGTGCGTTTGGTCTCCTTTAGAACTTTTCCATCGAGAATTAAAACTGACCTCCTTTCTTATCATCTGTCTCACAGACTCGTTCCTTACTGAGCGTTTTCGAGGAAGATGCCAGCACCCTCACGGACTACACCAACCAGCTGCTCCAGGCCATGCAGCGTGTCTACGGAGCCCAGGTAGCCCCCGCTCCCTCCCCCATCGTGAATTTTTCTCTGAAAGCCGGAAAAAAAAATCGGGGTCAAAAAACATGATCTAAAATTTTTGAAATAAAATTAGGATGCCCCCCCTCCCCTTCTCTGGATTCAAAACACTAAGCAAGGTCTTTTGTTCATTGCTTCAGAACAAGGATATTTTTCCTGTAACTAGAACCCATCAGGGGGGACTGCATAACTGCTTGCTTTTTTAAAATAATCCAGCCTCAATGGACACATTTGAGTTCCCTCTTTCTGCTGGTGATCCCGTGGGATTGGCCCTGGAGACGAGCTCTTTGCCTGTCTCAGAAAGGGGCGGTCTTAGGGGTCGCTGTGGGTGGGGAGAGATGGTTTCCTACTGCTTCCTCTGAGCCGCAGCGCTGCCACCATTGGGTGGTTTCATCGTTTGGAGGAACAAATAGCTCTGGCCCGAAAAACCAGAGACAGTAAGTTGCTGAGTAGCAAGCGTGAGTCATTCCAAGCTCAAGAAGTGCCTGTGTTTGTCACTTCCTAAGCGAAGACTGGCGAGTCTACAACAGTGCATCCTGCTGCCGCCCATCTCAGCGTGGCAGCTGCTCATTCTCAGCGTTGATTCCTTGCTGAGGGAAAGCTGTCCGTGCGGAACTGTTACTTCTTCCCATTGATGGGAATCCAAAGGGATCTAACATTTAATAGGACGTAGCCCTTTTTTTGCGTTTAACTTCTTATAATTCACATATCAATCATATTAAGAAGAGTTGCACAATTATCACCACAACCAATTTCAGGACATTGTCTTCTCAGACTCATTAAGTCCCCATTACCCCCAGCTTCCCCTGCTGTGCCCCGAGGTAAATATTAATCCAGTCATTGTCTCTAGGGATTAGCTAGTCTGGATTTCATATGCAGAAAATTATACAAACACAAACCCAACAACAATGGCAAAACAAAACAGGGAAAAACCAATCAAAGAAAAGCAGAAAATATTAAAACTGAAACTACTTTAAAATGGGTCAAAAGGGAGTTCAAATAATAAGATGTTATATTTTGATTTAACTACAGCAGCCACAGTCGTCTTTACTTACAGTGCTCTCTCAGCAAGGCTATTTACAACCCTGGACGATGATCAGAGGGGTGTCACTGGAGGCTTACTCCATGTGGTGACCCTGTAAGTAGGTTTGGGTTTTCACTGCCATCCATAGCCCTTCTGCAAGCTAGGTGTTCAGAGTTCAAGCCGATACCATTTCTGCTTTCAGATTTGGATTTATTGTGTATAATCCCTGGATCACACAGACTGGTGTGCTTCTTCCATGTTGGACTTGGCTGATGCCTCTCTTAGATGGCTGCTTGTTTGAAGACAAGCCTTTAAGACCCCAGACACTGTTCTTCTTGATGGCTGGGTACCCTCCGGTTTCTTCACCACACTTAGGTATAGCACACATAAGATCTCATCATGGGGGCAAGTATTGAGTAGGGCCATGTCATAAGAACTAATTGCTCTTAGATTGGGGCTAGAAGTAAGTGTGAGCACAACATCCTTTCATATCTATGGTTTACATATGTCTGTGGTTCACTTTAGGGACATCATTATTACGTATCATCCTGATAGAGAACATATATTGTGGTGTGATACAATACTATATATATATATAGTGGTGTGATACAATAGAGAACATTATAAAACACTGTTAAAAAAATTATACATGGAGGGAGTGGGGAGCGGGGAGGGAGGGGAAAAATGAGGACCTAATGCCGGGGGCTTAAGTGGAGAGGAAATGTTTTGAGAATGATGCGGGCAATGAATGTACAAATGCGCTTTACACAATTGATGTGTGTATGGATTGTGATAAGAGTTGTATGAGCCCCTAATAAAATGAGTTTAAAAAATGAAAAAAAATTATACGTGTATAGGCTGGCTTTTCAGACAGCAATTCATGATTTTTTTTTTAATGTGTGAGAGAAAGTTTTATATCAAGAAGTAATTGTATATCAAGCAAAAATCCCAGCCCAATTCAGATCAAGTCCATAAGTCTGATACTAGTCCATCAGTCTGACACTATTACATAAGTCCCTCTTCAGACACACACAGCAACATGCCTTGATGTAGAATGCAGGAAGATCACAGGCCGGCGGGTGAACAGTCATGTGGATCCAATGGCGATGGCCACATCACAGGCTCACAGCAGCCAGGGTCCATCAGCAGGAAGGGGAAGGCAGAGAGAGAGCTTCCCAGGGCCCTCCTTATGAGAAGGCCACCCCCACAAGGAGGTACCATCAGGCTGTGACCTGATTGACAGGCCAGACTCCATCCCTACACTTTAATTTGTCAAGTTGACATGAATTTATGTAACTACCACACTCTGTCACTGGGTAAATGTTGCCATTTTGATCCTAAACAGTTGATTTTTCTTTTTTTATTGTTTTATCTTATTGGGAGCTCTTACAGATATTATAACAATCCATAATTAGATCAAGCATAATTGTACAATTGCTGCCACCACCAGTTTCAAAACATTTTCTTCTTGAACTCTTTGATATCAGCTCCCCTTTAACACCCAGGAACACTTATTATTGTAGTATATATTATGACTTGTACAGATTAAACGCTTAAGTGACTGGACATTATTTACACTAACAATAGGGATTCGTGATAGGGCAAAACTTTACATACCACTCATTTACAGAGGCAGAGCCCTGCCCGCCAGACGTAATGTATATCTTAAGAAACAAAACCTCTCGGTGCCATCGAGTTGATGCTGACTCAGAGTGACCCTGTAACAAAATTGATCTTAAAGACCACTCTGATGGAGGAGACCTTGCCTAAGCTGGGTCAGTTTCTCAATATGGGGGAGAAGTAGGACCGACCATTCCGTTGCTGCAACAACTGAATAAAACATTGTGCTAGGTCACCCCAAATCTACAGACATTATTACAAGAGTGCTAAATGGACCTTATTGGAAATGAAAGTCAAGGTGGAGGGGAGGGGGCATGGATGACCGGAGAACGTGATTACACTTCTCTTGGTGGATAAACCCTTTGGAACCTTTCATTGGGAAAAAGCGCTTAACAATACTTATCCCAAGGGGAGAATAAGCCTGGTACAATGTTCCCAACTGGACACTTTTAACTCCGTGTCTAGTCAGCCCTTATAACCAGGCCGTGGCTGTAGACTAGTGGGACTCCAGACTCTGCCCTTTTCAGGTGCACGTCATCCTGCATAGGCCACACCAGAAAGATTCAATGTGGGAACCCCACTAAATGAACTGGATTTTACCTCAAACTCACCTGTTGCAGATTTGTGGTACTGACATACTCCCTTGGACCTAAGGCCAAAAGCCCGCGTGTGTGAAGAAGCAGATGACTGCTGTCCCGCGGTTATGGAATTGGTGATCTTTGGCCTAGGTTCAGATCTCTTGCTTTGACCATTGGTGGCCAATGCATGGTGTCCTGAGACTACCCTATATTTGCTATTCTAATAGTACGTGGCTCTTAACCCTCCTCGTACTACTGCCCTTGTCATCCTGGGCATTCGTTCATTCTCAGGAGCTCTGTGGCACAGCACTCAGCAGCTTATCACAAGGTGGGTGATCAGAACGTAGCAGCAGCCTTGCGCAGTGAACTCTCCCCGCCCAGAGAACCCAGTGTGCGGTTCTGCTCTGCCCTGCGGGGTCACAATCAGTTGGGCTTGACACAGCAGCAGCGGATCGTTTTCAGTCACGGATCGTTGAATGATTGTATGTGATGGATGAACTGTTCCCCGTTCCCAGGGTAGGTCGTTTTTCTGAGAGAAGCTAGGCAGTGAGCAAGATAAATCTATACAGTACATGGTGTTGTCTGGTCTGATCCATCCGGACCGTGGGGATGATGCCGGACCAGGCAAGCGTTGTGTGTGACGTCACCGCGAGCCGAGCGCCCACTCAACAGCAACTGATAACAGTAGATAGAGCAGCGGTTCCCAACCTGTGGGTCTCTACTTCTTTGGGAATCAAATGACCTTTTCACAGGGTTCTCAACCTGTGGGTCTCTACTTCTTTGGGAATCAAATGACCTTTTCACAGGGTTCTCAACCTGTGCGTCTCGACCTCTTTGAGGATCAAATGACCATTTCACGGGCCGCCCAATTCACAGCAGTAGCAAAATGACAGCGATGAAGTAGCAACAAAAATAATGTTATGGTTGGGGGGTCACCACCACATGAGGAACTGTTTGACAGGGTCGCAGCATTAGGAAGGTTGAGAACCACTGATATAGAGGGTCAGCCACTAAAAAGTCCTGTGGGGCAAAAACTGATGAGTCTTGTGAAGAAATCTCCTGGGCAGGTGAGTGGGACTGGAGGCTGAATACGATCACCTGGAGACACCCAAAGAGAAGCCAGTGGACTGCTGCCAAGCTACCCAGAAGAGAAGAACTAGGTTTGATTATTCTCGCTGATAGATGAACTGATGGGGCTACTTCCATGTCATGGAAGATACTTTTATTTCATTTTGTGTAGAGGTAGACATAATTATTCAAACCATTTTTATGAGCGAGACAGCTTGAAAATATAGTCATTAATCCCTACATAATATTTGAGAAGAATGAGAAAGATGGTTTTGCAAGGTAGCAAACGTCTTGTTAAGAAACTATTATTCGTGACTGTTATTTGGATTGTTGTTGTTGTATGCGAGTCTGTTGGGACGCATAGCGATCTAATATGACAGAGTAGAACGACTCCATAGGGTTTCCTAAGCTGTACTCTTGTTGTTTTTAGCTCTTTATTGTGAATGGGGTGAGGGTTTACAGCCAATCAGCTTTCCATTAGCCAGTTCACACCCATTGTGTCTCCTGTCATTGATTGCAGTCCATGTGGCTTCGTTTTCCCTCGTTTCTCTTCTCCGTCCCTCCTCTCCTCACTTGTCTGAACTCTGTTCTTGGGTCCCTGCTGCCCTTTCGCTCACACATCGTTGTTTATTCTCAGGACCTCCCTGGGGTTATTGTTCACCTTTCAGACCTGGCTGTTGTTGGGC